GATTCACTGAATTCATCTTCACTAGATGAATTATTATTTAATATATTATATAATTGATCAGTACTATATTTTGATCTTTTACAGTTTACCACACGAATCTTCGATCTTTTACAATGTGAATTATTATTTGCATTTATTTTAACAAACGTCAATAGTTTGATAGTTTGACAACTAAAAAGCATGGCAACCGATTATGGAGGTACGGAGTTCTGTAATAGGTTTTAATAAATAAATAAAATAATACAATTATTGTAATAGATAGATACGGATTTCGGTTGTTGACTGTGATAATCAGCATTATTTTATTTTTATGGTGTTGGTGCAAAACGGAATTATTGTGAGTCCATCTTTGGAAGCCTTACTTGCAGTGCTCATTTCTTCTCTTAGGACATAAGTTATGTTAGATAATGCTTTTGTCGAAATAAAAATAATCCCGACTCATCTGCGTTAAAATATCTAGCCGTGAGTATCGCTTCAATAAATTGAGCAGTTTTTCCTTTCAATCAGACACCACTAAGTAATTTTCAGCAGCTGTTTTGTCATATACAAATTTGAAGCAACTATTTTGTCGCTTTCAAAATTTTCAAGACTAGAAGCCTTCATATCAATGCTTAGTTCACTTGAAATTTCTACTGCTTTTTTTAAATAATTTTACCAGAAACAATATTATTTTTTAACAATTTACGAAGCAAATCGAAAATAATTTTATTCAATACGGCACCCGAGAAGAAATTACCAAAACACAAGTGAAATTGAAGAAGGTAATGGAAACATTCTAAAATGAGAAAAAGAAAAATATAAGTAAAATTGAAGAAGGTAATGGAAACATTCTAAAAGGAGAAAAAGAAATAATAAAGGACATAGACAGAGTATTTGTCATTATGTATATAAAAATTGGCCGGTCTGCGCTTTTGTGGAGGAAGTATTCTGGATAGTTATTTGCAATAACGCCACAAGAAAATATCTTTCGAACAAGATCGAGATCTTCCTCTGGAGCTGAGGATAAGAGCCTTAAGATGCTACGTGTTCTCGACTGTGTTACATGGAATGGAAAGCTAGACTCTAAAAGTAGACAATATAAAGAAGTTGGAAGCATTTGAGATGTGGTGCTATAGAGGGATTTTGAAAATACCTGGATCTAATGAGTTGGATCGTTAGATCGTTAATCCCAATCCTCTTAATGGTTTTTAAATTCTTAAAATTTAAGTTGGTAATAAACAGCGACCCCAGCAGCGGTTTAAGGCAGGCATACCTATCCGACTGAGAATTAACAACTAGCGAGCATTCTGGTCTTAACTCTAGATAAAGGAAGTTCTCTGAACTAAGAAGTAGGCAGCAAAGAGCTGTGCTAAATTTGTTTTAAGAAAAGTATTTTTGTTTTTGGAAAGAAGATGAGGAAATTTTAGTTGGTTTTAGTGTTATTCATCTGAGTTAGCCACTCTTTTTTCGGTAAGTCTAGCAAATTATTATAAAAACGAAAATATAAAAAAAACATCAGCCATTTTGAGATCCTATAGTATCGTCACTCTTCATTTGATTCGATATATTTATCTGAACTTTTTCATCATTTCATTAAGAAATATTCTACGTCTAAATCGAAATTTATAAGATAAAATCATATATCCAATTTCTGTTTTATTTTCCGGTCTTAAACAAATATATAATTATATATCTATTAAGTCTATCTATTAAAATACTCTGTCTTATATCATTCTTTTATATTATAAAATAGATCCATAGCATGCGTTTTCGTTTATAAAATTATCTATTTAATCAATCCATTTACTTAAAATCTTGTCAAACCATTCAAAGGTCACACTATTTACAAAATCATTAAAGCTTTTTGTTCCCAATAACTTTTTATCATATCCTTCAAATAGTATCGTATTTTTCTTGTGTTTTTTCCCTACTTCTTATTAAGAGTAAGGAGGAACGCACACAAATGTTATTTTAGCCTACTTCCTACTTCCGAAGTTAGTCCAGAGTCAACAATTTCTCATTTTAATTTGGTTGGGATGTATTTAAGAATACAAATTGATTTGTTCCCTACTGGGTGTACAACTTGGATATCACCCTGAGCTGTTTCATCCGAGGTACAGACCTCATATAAGCCTTCCCGGATAACTTCAGGGAACCAGTTGGAAAGACCGCATTAGAGTGTGGAACACAGCTAATTTTATCAAGTTTTGTTTTTAATTTTAATAATTTTTATATACTGGATTTATTTTTCAATTTTAATAACTTTTATACACCATTTTTTTTGTTTAACTTTAAATATTCATACTCGGACTAATAATAAAGACCCGTCATTTTTTTAAACTAATTTTAAATAACGTTTAAGGACTAATTGTCAATTACAGGTTGAGTTTTAAATACTCCCTTATAACTCGGTTGTACGGTTTTATGTGTACACATTTAATCAGAGAGTTATTTTTTTTAAGATATTATTATTATTATATATTTAAACGTTTAGACATTTATCTCATCAAGATAGTGTCCTTATTACTTGTTACAATTACATTTAATTGTAAGCCAAAATACAGAGTTGCATCTCTGAGGCAAGTAAATTACCTTTTTTTAGGTCAATTTTTTCCATATTTTATTATTTGTAAATTTAGATCATCAAGGATCAGTTGGGTATAACAAGGGCATTTATTTTTTGTATATAATTAAGTTGACTGTACATAATTGGCGGTGGGTATTTTAAGATAAATTTATATTGTATATATTTGGCTAGGGATTAAAGTTTTGGTGAAAATTAAATCGTTCAATTCATACCTATATCCTTTTTTATTTCAGCACATAGCTTTACAAGATACCTTGGAAAGTTTATGTAAATACTTTCCTGGCTCCCACTCACATTTTGGAGCAATCTCTATAATCACTTTTAGTTATCTTAGTTATATTCCTATAGTTTTTTTATAACCTTGTCATTCATTTTCTTATTCTACGGTCTCTGTAGGGCATGCAAATTGGCCGAATCCTCCTTTGAATGTCAAGTAGTTCCGGCAACTTCTGCTAGCCGGCTTTAAAATTATATGTTATCTTTTACTTTACCCCCAACTACTTGTGTTTCATTGCATGCACACTTTTTTTTATATTCTTACACATTTTTGTTACATTGGCGCACAAAGCATTTTTGTTACAGAGTTACAAATGCAAAAGTGTTAAGGTTACATTACCGAAAGTGCGAAATATGAGATATCGGGCTTATAGTGCAATGTAAAATTAAGGGTAAAAGATCCATAGGTAGAAATAGAATTTCCTAGCTGAGCAATTTAAGAGAGTGGTATAGTTGCAGCTCAATAGATCTTTTCAGAGCAGCCGCCAATAAAGTACGGATAGCCGTGGTGATGGTCAACCTTCGATATGAGAAGGAACTTCGACAAGAATAAGATGTAAATTTTGTTCTGATAGTAACATTGTACTACAAAAAATTGACAATTTATCTAGAAATGGCAATATAGAAGTTAATTATATTCTGTGCAAAATAAGAAATTGTAAGGAGGTGAACTAAAATCAATATGATCTACTGTTCAATCGCATACTTTTACATTTAAAAATTTTCTGAGGACTATCTGGAATTACGTGATCGAGGTTTTAAAAGCAAGTAGTGGTGAGTCGACTCTTCGACTCTTCTATATGCAGTGGAAACGTGGACCCTTAAAACATCAACCATAAATAAATTGGAGGCCTTTGAAATGTGGATCTACTGGAGAATACTCAAAATTTCATGGACATCGCATACCTCAAACGAAGAAGTGCTGCATAGAATAGGCAAGGAAAGAGAACTTTTTCACACAGTTAAAGTAAGAAAAACATCGTACCTAGGCCACATACCGAGAAATAATAAGTACCAATATGCCCAACTTATAGTGAAAGGAAAAATCGAGGGAAAGAGAGGCCTAGGAAGGAAAAGACTATCATGGCTCAGAAACATCCGACAATGGACAGGGCTAAATTTTGAACAGCTAATAAGAACAGCTGAAGATAGAGAAGAGTTTAAAATTGTAGTAGCCAACCTCCATTGAGGAGAGGGCACTTTAAGAAGAAGAAGTGGTGAGTACCAAATGCAATCGATTTTGACTTTGAGAAAATACCAGAAATTACCAACGTTAAGAATGAATAATGTAAGTACCTACATATCTTGATAAAATAACAGGAAATTTCCAACATATAAATAGTTGAGGGCCATCTGCCTAGGAACAATAGGTAAAAGCTGATAAGACAGGATTAGAGTTTAAAACATCACTAATTAGATTATATTTCAAAACAAAGTAAATATGTATATTTGAAGGTTAATTCTTTTCAAACTGATTGTAAAATTTTAGGAAAAAAAATTATTATTTCTTGTTCTCAAGAATTACTTTCATTATTGACAATATCTATACATTTTATTATTAAAAGTCGAGAAGAATTATTAAAAACCACGTTTATATTTATATAAATGTGCTATAAAAATGAAGGTATATTACTCTTGAAAAGAATTAATATTTTTTAACAAACAAAAGATATAGGTAGAAAAAAAGAGGTTTAATAAGTGCTGCCAAAAAAAAAAACGGTAGACCCTATAATGTGAATGAAATGGACACTGAAGAATTTTTTGACTTTAAGGATCTTTCAAAAATTTTTGCGCTCAAAAATGCACCAAAAATTCGGATAACGAGAAGGTAGTATGCAATAATATACAAATTTTTAAAGTAGAAAAGTGTTTTCCTACAAAAGTTTTTTACAAAACTAACGTTGACGATACAACCTATAAAACTATTGTCCTTTCTATTCGTCGATTTTCTGATAATAATAATGTTTTAGAGCAATATAACTTAAAACCAGCTACTATTAACTCTACTGCTCCCAGGATTTTATTTGAAGCAAATTAAACATAAAATCAAATCTGGTGAATACACGACAGGATGCCAAAAATTGTGGATGCAGAAAACTGGGAATAAGTTGTCGATATTTTTTAGATTTATTTTCTTGAAAAAAATAACTAAACCTTTAAAATATATCACTTTAATAAGAAAATTAATTTTCTACAAAAAATATTGTATAAAAGTTCACAAAAAATGCATAGTTTTTAAGTTATAGTCACAAAACCGAAAATTGGATAAATTTACCTTGATCTCAAAAACACAAGGCTCTGTCTGGTACAATAGCTCCCTTCGATTTTATTACTATTAGAGTTCAATATTGGCCATATATAAAATTCTTGAAACGCCTTAGTTTTTTTTTCTAAAATTTTTATTGATATTTTCAGATATCTTGTTCAGCTTGAGAATATTCAAATTCTACTTATAAATAACCTTCCGGATACATACTATTTACAAAATCTAAGGTCACAGATCGCGACTGTTTTAATACTTCCTATTGCTATTCGTCTAAAATTAAGATTATTCTTGGGATAAATAAGAAAACAATAAATAAAAGCTATCCCTGATGTGTAGATGTAAGATATTGTTTATTTAACAGGCACGTATAAAATCTTATTGATATATCTCTTAACCCTTTGGGACCCAGTGGGACTTATAGATCCCACGTTTCAACAGCCAAACGCGACAGTTTCAATTTGCCTGATGTCCCATTTTACATTATATTCTTCGATATCGGAGTTTATCGACTACACTGCACATTTTTCTCTACTAAAGTGATATTGGCAACCTTGCATGGCTCAGTTAGTTTGTAAGGGACCGCAGGAGTGTGACGTCACATTGTCATTATTACTTTCCAAACAAACGTTGAAATGTCAAATCTCAAGACTTTTTAATTCCTATAAAGTTAACATTTTGCTTCCTCTGCTGCTTTTTCTAATAAGTATAGTGTTTTTACGATAATACCGTCATAATTCAGAGTTCTATTTCTATGAAATATGGTTTAAAAGTTTAATTAAAGAAATTTTAACCTTACTTTATTGATACTTTTATTTTATTCCTATTAGCATAAAACAATGTGCTTTATTATTTACACAACCTTGTAAAATTGTTGTAGTAACTATTAGAATACTTAAATATTGCAAAAAGCGGAAAGATTCTATAAAATAAATGAAAAAATAACGAAAAATACAAATTATCCACACTAAACAAGGTTTGTTTGGAAAGTGAAACTGGCAGATGTCAATCAAATCTACGTCATCACTCCTGTGGTCCAGTACGGCGCAGTCAACACGTGGTTCTTACTTTTCGAAGTTTTTAACGTTAAAACAACTTGTTTTTGACACAATCGTAAGGTAAGTTTGTTGTTTAGTGTATTTATGTATTCTACACGTTGATCTGAGATTCGTTTGCTTTTGTAAATTGGCTAACTTACATCAAAAATCACATGGGATTTATGTGTCACACTGGGTTTGTTGGACGTGCCTTTTATATCTCATTGGTTTTTTTCAGCATGTCAAGAAAAAGAAAGCTCACTCAAAAGGAATTGCAAGAACTGGCTGATAATATAAGCGACATATCTTTATGCGATGAGATAGATGACGAAAAAGATCCCTTCCACGACGGTGATCATTCTTCTGATGAGTCGTATATGGCACCAGATGATTGTCCTGACAATGAACAAGAACAGACTCGCTCATTAGATGAATCAAACACGTCTTCAGTTGATTCTCCCGAAAATGAAGAAGGCAAGAATACTTGCTTGCCAGATGGGGAAGATTTAATTGGAAGTAAGAAAGCCATTATCAATAAAAAGAAAAGATAACTCCCTATTGTATGGACATCAGTCGCAGCTAATCATAAACCCAGATTTGCTGTTTCTCTTGAAATACCTTGTGTAGTTGATGAATCAAATTCCCTCGAAGTTTATTTATTTTTGTGCAAACGAGAGAATTAAAATGTATAATCGCAAGGATGGAAAGTCTAAACCGTTTACTGATGCTGGTGAAGTAATGATAACTATTGGTTGTACTCTAATAATGTGCTACAACAGAGTGCCTAAACTGAGACATTATTCGTCTTCGCATCCATCTGTCGGAAATAAAACGATAAGTACTGCAATATCAAAAAACAGATGCTTATTCATTCTCTTCAAACTTTACTCCAATGGCCCAAAGAAACCCGAAGAATGCAGTAGGATATATTATGTAGAAAAACTGCTCTCCTGTTTCAAGTTCACATTTCAGAAGTATCGAACCGACAGTACTAGACAATCAATCGACAAGAGTATAGTAAAGTTCAAAGGACGGTCGTCCCTAAAAACAATACATACCTCTAAAACCAGTGAAAAGGGGTATAAAACTATTTTGCAGGTGTGATTCTAAGACAGGTTACACATATGATTTTAACGTTTACTCTGGAAAGGAAGTTGAACAAGCTGATGGAACTCTAGGTGAAAGAGTAGTAAAAACGCTTTGTGAATGGATACGTATTGATAATGTTGTTGTGGCTTTTGGCAGGTTTTTTACCTCTGTACGTATAGTGGACACCATTAAATTCGCTCTAGTTGGTACAGCCATTACAAATAGACGGAACAGGCCTAAGGAGTGTTTTCTATAAAAAGCAAAATGAACAAGGGAGACTCTGTATTTCTAAAAAATGAGTTCCAAACCCTAGCCACAAAATGGCAAGATACCAAACAAGTATTCTTGTTCAGTAACTGTCATAAGAGTAGTTCTACAACTATTCAAAGAAAAAATAAAAATGGGACCAAAGTGGACGTTTCTTATCCTGCTGCTGTTGCTTTATGCAACGAAATTATGGGTGGTGTGAACCTGGCTGACCAAATGAGTGGAGTGTATAAAATGAAAAGACGATCCTGTAAATAATGGAAAAAAGTTTTCTACCGATTTCTTATGGTGTCAGTGGTAAATAGTTGGGTAATATATAATGATTTACATCGAACACGCAAGAAAACATCCCTTTTAGAAACTTTGTTTGAGCTATCAGAAGATCTCATTTCTAAAGGTAAAACCACTACACAAGTAAAACTTAGAAAAAGAAGTGTAGGTAGACCTTCAAAGAGATCACGAAATCAAAATGTAGGAGACCACATGCCGATTGAAACTGCTTAGAGACGGCGTTGTGTTGGTTGCTCAAGAATGGGGAAAGAAGAACCACAACCATCTGCACAATGTGCAATGTAAGTTTGTGTAAACATTGTTTTACATTATATCACACATATTAAGTTACATAGAAGTATTTTTTATGCATATTTTTGTAAATCTTTCTGAAATAAAGTGTTCATTTATTTGTGGCCGTAATCTCCTAATATACCCTACGGGACATAATAATCCCAACCAACATTGCCATTGGGACAGATATATCCCACGATTTTTTTGTTTTTTTTATGGAAAAAATTTGGTTTGGCACACTTTAAAAATCTTCTATGGTTACCAGTACAAAGAAATGATTAAAGTCGAGATCGTAACAACACAAAAAAAATTGGGTGCCAAAGGGTTAAAAATCTTGGAAATTATTGATACGCATTAGAATATCCACTAAAATTTAAATATTAGATGCAGAACACATTTATAGTTTTTGAAGAAGTGTAGTTTTTAACATCTTATGAAATTTATATACATAAATAGTAATAGGTATATCTAATAAAATCAGAAGTTTTATCAATCAGTACATAAAAATATTTCACAGTACATAAACTTTGAAAACTCTTGGTATCACAGTATATTATATTGGATAGTAAAATGCTGTTTATTATCATCATCGTTCATAATTTGGAAGGCTTCCAGGTGCCACTTCTGTATCAGAACCTTCAATAGGTTTGTCTTCAATCTTAAATATCTCTAATAACCTATTAAACCTATCTCTATCTGATTTTTGGTCATGTTTTTTGCACAAAGCTTTGTAAATGTCTTTTCGCGTGTACCGATTCGTTACAAAGATAGCTACAACGAATATACCTTGTGATCCTTCAATAATTTCGTAGACTAAAGGGTTTCCTAAATCCATGTTTTTAAGAGCGGCATCAAGTACCCAAATGCTAGATGTCACCCAAATTAGAAAACATGAGCGTATCCTGCAACAGAAAAAAAATATAGGTAAATCAATAATATATTGATTAAATAAAATTTCTAACCATAAAGTAAAACAATAATAAAAAGTAATAACCCAAGTTTTGGACATACCATAAACTAAACAACATAAGTACCACTGTAAATAATTCATTAGGCATAAATATAACATCGCAATTATTTACATTTAAAAACATCAAGATATATACAACATTGAAAGCATAAGTCACATATCTTGCAGAACTAGCAATATAATGCTACACTCTAAAACTAAATATAAAAAAATAATTAATGAAAATGGGAAAACTAAAACATATCAAAATCAATCGCGTCCCACTGACTGATAGGGAAATGTCTACAGATATGTAGGATATTGAATGATTTCTACTGTTGGCTTAATGACAGATACTCACGGGCGGATATCGCATAATGATATAACCGGCAGTGATACTGCGATCAGGCAGGCAAGCAAACCTGATTAAATTCTCGTGACTACACCATCATGAATATATCGAATCAGTTAGATATGTTTAGCGATCGGCGCTCAGTTGGTTTCGGGCCAACTAGTGTCAAATGGGCTACCGGGCATGTGTTTGTGAGCAACCAGGCAACACATGCAAAATTGGCGCCTGGAAGAAAATCAGATTTTCAGTTAAGAAAAGCAATGGGAATAGCAACCTGGAATGTTCGAGGATTATTGCAACCAGGCAAACTGCATATACTACAAAGAGAAGTCAAAAGAGAGGATATAGAAATATGCGGACTTTCGGAGACCCATTGGAAAGGACAAGGACACTTCCGAACGGCAGATCATGTTGTATACATATCGGGAGCAAATAACACAGGAAGAGATGGTGTTGCAATTATGGTTACTAAAAAAGTTTCACAATACGTGTACGATTACCAACCCATAAATGATAGATTTATAAAAATAACCTTACTAGCATCACCAAACAAAATGCATATTTTTCAGGTCTACATGCCAACCTCAGACACCTTAGACAATGAAATGGAAGACGTATACTTCGTTATTAAAGACACAATAAGAAATATTCCATCTAAAGAACCACTCATAATCATGGGCTATTTTAACGCTAAGGTAGGAGAAACAAGAAATATTAAAATCCGAAATGTAGGAACCTATGGGTTAGGTGTTAGAAACAGCCGAGGCGAACGTTTAATAGTTTTTTAACCGAAAACAGTTGGGCCATTGTAAACACAATGTTCAAACATCATGCCCCTCGTTTATCGACGTGGACCAGCCAAAATGGAGAATACAAGAACCAAATCGACTACATATTGATTAGAAACAGATAGAAGACATGTTTTGCAAACGTAAAAACTAGACCAAGAGCCAAATGTGGATCCGATCATAAATTGTTATGGGCTTGCTTCAAGATGAAGCTAAAAAGAACAATGCCGCACCAAAATCAAAACAGGCTGGAGATTTTAAATCCGAAAACATTTAGACATGCATTAAAGGAAACTAGTATGTTGAACACATAAGACAACCCAGAAGAAATGTGGAAAGGATTTAGAAATGCCATAGATACCTCTGTAGAAAGAACCAGAACAGAAAAAAAGATCACAAAAAACACTGGATGATAGACAGAACGCTGCAACTTCTCGAAGAGCGAAAGAGAATCAAATCTCTCATATATCAAAACGACAACAACAAAAACGAATTAACTTTGTTGGTACACAAGGCAAATATCGAACACAGTAGTTAATCAAATCTTGCCCAAGTACTTTCGATACGATATAAGTTTAACTTCAAAAACTGTGAAGGCCTTATGGTGTCACCACATCCCAATTTACTCTTTGTTCTGTATTAGAATCTAAGTTAGACCACCAGAAGTCTGAACACGCGTTTGATTTCATTTTAATCACACCTTCATGATTAATATGAAATTTCCTCAACAATTGTTGTCTGAGGCTAGTTTGAATGATTGCTTCCTATCTCCTAATAATAATACCATTCTCTACTGAGAAATAATTTTTTCTAAGTAAGGCTTGAAAATTGAATGAGCTTAGGAAATTCATATATAAATTAATTATACACGTATACACGTTAAGTATACAAGGCGTAATAAATTTAAATCAACTGATACTTAGTAAGCTTTCAACTAAATTGATATCTTAAAAATTTAAATCTATTTGAAGTTCATCTTTACAAACAGGTAAAGATAAGCTTGATAAAGTATAAGCTTTAGAGTTATCGACTTGTTTAAGAAAGCGAAAAGTATAATTAAAATCAGTTAAAAACAATGACCAACGTTGAATGCGCCCAGCAGCCATTTTAGGTAAGATTTTATGCTTTGCAAAGATAGCTTACAGAGGCTTATGGTCACTTAAAATTTCAAATTTCTGAGTAGCTAAATATTGGTAGAGTTTAGAAACAGACCAATATATCGGGTGGTGAATTGTCAAACGGGCCATAGGAAACTCAATGGGAAATTTTAAATTGTTGAATTGCTGCTTCCCTAATTATTTTAGATCAAAAGTCATAAAAAACTATGTGTAGAGGACTAAAATTAAATTAAAAACAAATGTTAAAACCGTTTTACGAATCAAATGTACTTCAAAATTTTGCAAAAATATAATAGATTTTTCAGACCAACCCTAAAAGTTAGGCCACACGTAATACAAGAATATATTATAACTTGTGTGTTTTATCATATTAATGTCAGATGTTTGACAATTTGAATTGTCAATTTTTTTATTTTATGATTAAATTATAAACAATGAATTTTACTAAATACTACTACTACTGAACAATATTACTTTGTGAACAATAAATTATATTGTTTACAAATCGATCAATATAATGAAATGTACTCAGTTGACGAAAAATCGCATAATGTATTCAGGCAATAGCGCGAACCTTTTCCTGTCACTACCGGATCTTTATTTAACCCTGCTGTCCTGTTCGGGTCTATTTGACCCAAAAAAAAATTATTTCTTATTTTACAAATTATTACGCGGCGTAACGTTTTGGTGTTTCGTGACTTTATTACTTAATATGAGGTCTTTCAATTGCATAAAAGATAAAAAATCAACTTGCTCATTTTTTTGATAAAAATTAAATTGTTACCTATGGTACGCTCGGGTCAATATGACCCACTTATTTAAACCGTTAAAAATGTTTAGTTGGTAGTATTTTATATTTTCTAATAGTGTTTGTCAGTCAGGTACGTCTATAAATAAAAACAAGTTTCTACAAGCTAGAACTTGTAAAATATGTGTAGTGTAGCTAGACGATGTCAGGTAGAATGGCATGTCACGTAAAAGGAAGTGGGGGTGATAGACAAGTGGTAAAACACTAATATTCCAAGGCCAAGCGCATTCATTTATTCGTTTATATTTCAAATTTCAGTCTATGTTTGCATGTTGATAATGTCGCACCGTAGAGCGCTAACCGAAGATGAGCTTCGCGAGCTCGCGAACGTGTCAGAGAGTGATGAGTGCATATCAAAAACAGAAAACAATACAAGTAGTGAGAGTGAGGAAGAAAGTAGTGATGAATCCTTTGGTGTTCCATTCTACGTACAACATACTGTAGAACCTTCTGTAACGGTTCCTTCAAAAGACGATACTATCCAATGGTCGCTCGATCCTCCTTATCAACACGGTCGTTTTTCTACGGCCAATGTTATAAATAATGCTCCAGGAGTTACAAGGTGCGCATGTGCACGAATTTTCGATATTAAAAATTCATTTGACGCACTCTTTTCTGACATAGTTGCAAACCAAATTATAAATATGACCAACATGGAAGGACAGCGTGTTTTTGGAAACAACTGGAAAGACTTAGATAAAATTGGTTTTCAAGCATACATTGGTCTGTTATTGTTAGCTGGAGTTTTTAAGTCCCATGGTGAATCAACTAAAAGTTTGTGGAATGAAGAAACGGGTCGTAGTATATTTCGAGCAACAATGTCCCTTGAAGTATTTACAAAAATTTCGCAAGTAATACGTTTTGATAACAAGACTACTAGACAGGATAGGAGACGTACTGATAAACTTGCTGCAATACGTGAAATTTGGGAAAAATGGGTTGAAAATCTACCAAAATTTTTTAACCCTGATGAAAATGTTACCGTCGACGAGCAATTAGTTGCCTTTAGAGGCCGCTGTCCATTCAAACAGTACATTCCAAGCAAGCCAGCGAAATATGGCATAAAAATTTGGGCCTTATGTGACAGTAAAAGTTCTTATGCTCTAAAATTGCAGATCTATACAGGAAAGGAAGCAGGTGCCGCGCCAGAACGAAATCAGGGAATGCGTGTGGTGTGCGACTTGAGTAGTGATTTGAAAGGGCACAATATTACATGTGATAACTTTTTTACATCGTACAATTTAGGACAACTTCTTTTAAAAAGAAAAAATACAATGCTGGGGACTATAAGAAAAAATAAACGAGAGCTTCCAGCACAAATTGCGAATAAAGAAGTTCATAGTTCGTCTTTTTACTTCACACAAGATACCACTGTTGTTAACTATATTCCTAAAAAGAATAAAAATGTTATTCTTATGAGTACTTTGCATCATAAAAGGCTATTAGTGACAGAAATGACAAGAAGCCCCAAATTATTTTAGATTACAATTCCAGTAAGGGGGCAGTGGATACTCTAGATCAGCTTGTTGGTACATATACATGTAAGAGGAAGACAAATCGCTGGCCCATGATTGTTTTTTACAATATGCTGGACATTTCTGCCTACAACGCGTTCGTTTTATGGACATCGATAAATCCCCAATGGAATACCAATAAACTTACAAAACGACGAATTTTTCTTGAGGAGTTGGGAAAAACACTGGTGAAACCACTTATCCTTTCCAGGAAAAATTTACCGAGAACTAAAGACTCACAAGTACTGGTAAAAAGAACACGAGCAGAAGCGAGTAGAGAAGATGGAAATTCTAGTGAACCGTCTATGGACCATCCAACTCCGCCTGCTAAACGAGCCCGCTGTAAATTTTGCTCTAAAAGGGATAACAAGAC